TATATATATATATATATATATATATATATATATATATATTTATATAAAATATATACATATATAATATATACATATATAAATATATACATATATAAATATATATACATATATGTTACACACATGCACACACATATTATGTATATATATATATATATTACAGAAGCATAGATGTGAGCTCCTGTGTATGATCGTATAGAAACTAGGCATATAGTACACCTATCTGCGTTCGATTTATGTCTCAGTGTTGTCTTACCTGTGCAAACTTTGTGTGAAATGACCGCCGTCTTTATTTATTCTGGTCGTAAATTTACATTTTATTGTGCTTTCTTAGCAGATTTCTTTCGTACAATTCTGTTCTTTGGACCTTGCCGAATATCGAGGGGCCTCATAAGTCCCTTCGATTTGAAGTAAAGCCCACAGGCATTGCACACAAGCTCTCCCTTCAATCTCCTCCAAGTAACTGTGGTATTTGTCCCACAATGCACACAACGTGTGGTTCTATCTCTGGTTGTAGTTGGCTTTGAAACCTTAACCTTAGGCTTTCTCGGCTTATTACATCCCCAATTACCTCCCGTGGGAACAAGTCCCTGAAAATTGTAGACTGGTGTATCTGTTTGGATTAATCTTGCATCTACCGCCTCTCGTCTACTGAGGTCATTCAAACGACTGATAGGGTGTTCCCTATATCGCTGAGGTTGCGCTGTAGCTCGCGCTTGATGAGATGATGGCAAGTGATTGGCTGATAAAGTAGATAATTCAATCCAATTACCCGCAGCTGCACAGTCTCTATTATCTGATATAGTAGAGATAACTGGTATATGCGACATGGTGACATTTAAGGGGGGCTGAATTTCTTGGCGGGTTGGTGATTTCAACGCCGCAGTATGCTCAGAACCACAATCAGAACTTGTACACCGTTCAAAGTTCATTCCAACTGCCTCTACCTTGGTTTGCGCACTTTCATACTTAGCTATTATTAGATCCAATGTATCCAGACTGCGTGTTGCGATTGCCTTTTGGACTACAAATGGACTTGAAATGTCCAGAGATGATACTACAGATGTAAATGACTTCTGCTCATGTCCCCAAGGCGATGCCGTTTGACAATTGTCATTATTTAGTGTCGTGAAACTGGATATATCGGAAATTGGTTCTGAAAGTGAAGCTCGCATCGAATTTATCGAACTCTGCAGTCCCTCCGTATCTATATTGCCAAACTCAGCAAAGGTGGCTCGTCGCTTCCCAATTGACGTCGCAGGATCAGAACGCCTGCGCGGAACTAAATCCTTTTTCTCGTCCATAGCACCTTGATTACTTCGATTACAGTTTGGCAGATGCTGTACATCGGGAGGGCAGGGAGTATCTTCAAGCGGATTGCTAGCATACTGCGGGCCCAAATTTGAATTCGGCCTTTGTAGCATATGCGAAGGAATTAAATATTCTTTGTCCGAGATATAAGAACCGCTAGTAAGTGACGGCGTTTCGCACAAACCTATCCCTCGAATATCATTATTGTCAGGTATATAGCTTGGATTGGATATGCTAGAATACTCTCGTTGTATATTGTGCAGCCTTGTCGATGACGATGATGATGACGATGTACGCAAGGTTGCATACATCGTGGTACTGCTCATATCGCAAGAACCATTCGATCCATAGAAATCGCACTCGGGCGATTTTGGCAGCGACATACTCCTCGCAGAGCACGAAAGTTTCAATTGTGCAATAAGATGCTTCATTTCCTCCTGCTCGTCGCCACAATCTGTTTCGATAATGCTCCGAGTTACATCGCAATGCATGTTCGCAAGCGAATATGTTAATATTTGATCGAATACTGTGTACGCCAAGTCACCCTTACCTCCTGTGAACCCGTTTTCACTCATGTTGTTTACTGTGACTGTCAAGTCGAAAACACATATGACTTCCTCTGCAAAGACAGATGCATGTATGTCACGTACATGAATTCATGAAATGGAAGAATTTCAAACCCGCAGTGCGAATATATAATTCAAATAAATACAAGATGTGAATGGACATAATTACTTGGTAAATATTAAATACAGAATGTATGTAGAACTGTTCCCAGAGACTGGGCCCTCTTTGGGCAGTGAGAGTGGAAAGCTGTAAGATCAGGAATTCAGAATGATGCTGCAGCGGTGCAGCCTGCTCAGTGCTCGGTGCTCAGTGCTGTGGTAGGCTGCGGCGGTGCAGCCGCAGGATTAATGGCCGTGCCCGGCGCGCCGCCGCTTCCGGTTTTTTCTTTGTGTTTTACTTTGTAGGCTATGCGTCTATTTTAGAAGGCTATGGCCAAGTGTTTTTGTTCTTTGTTTTTGTTTTTTCTTAAACAAAAAGGCAAATATGTAGCTTTCTTGTTGTTATATTGGTTTTTTTCTATTAAGAGCTCTTTTTTTTAAGAACAAAGATTATGCGCATTTTATAATCTATATTATATGTTTATTTGATATAGTAAACTATAAAACAAAACAAAAGAGTCGATCTCGATAAAGTAATCTCATTTCATTTGGTGAATGAACCAACAGGTTGCATACTGATCTTTTTAATATTGTTATTGTTTTTAAAAAAAGAACAATTTTTTACTCCTGACCTGTGTTAGTGTTTTTGTACTTTGTGGCCTCAGGCGCCCTCAGGGCTCAGAGGTTCAGGCGCTCAGCCCTGCTGCCCTGCTGCCCTGGGCGGCTGGAGGCCTGCCGGCCTGGCCTTAACTTCTGAAGTTTCATTTGTTTGTAGTATGGGATATGCTCTGTGCCCTGCCCTATTGAAGTAGGACAGGATCTTCTCTGTGCCCTGTCCTACTATTATTGGACTGGACTGTTCGGACGGGATCTTCTGGACTGGACTTTGGATGACGAATATGGATATTCGATGAAACTCTCTGATGTCTTAAGATATAGGATCATAGGAATTAGTTAGTGCCTGTCTCTTCTACTCGCTAGGCACTAGCCCTACGTTAGAGGGACCTGAGACAGTCGTTATATTACCAAGTGATAAACGGTTAGTATTACCTAGCCCACTAGCCATACTACTTGTTTTGTGTTTTGTTTTGTTCTACAAAAAGATGTACATAAAAGCAAAAAAGTAAAGAAAAAAACATGGCCAAAAGAAGTGAATATTTTCAGTAAAACACCAGCCACTCCACTCACCAGTGTTATTTATTACATATTACAACTCGCTACTCACAGCCCGTCTCAACTCACCACTGCCCAGGCCCCAGTGCCCATCCCAGTCGCCAGTCGCCAGTTGCCACTCACGGTGACTCATCACCATTTACCCCAGTCAGGCAGTCACCACTCACCACCAGGACTCACGCGGGTCACAGGATCAGGGGATGCCCGGTGCCTTATCAAAAGTTTGGGTCTGCGGGCAATTTTGGGTGCAATTGGTTTCTGTACATTTCAGAGAATTTTGATGAGAGAAGTACTCGTCATTTCAATGAGACACCAGGTATAGGTTTCAAGCTATTCACCAATCAGCAAAGATGACTGAAAAATGTTGATAACACTGTTACCAGAGACTCAAGAGTATTTATCTTTCTGACCTCTCTGGGCTCTGGCTCTGTCTCAGACTCTCACTCTCTCTCCTCAGTATCACTATCCTCCCTGCTGGGGAGAGTAGTGAGTAGAAACTACTGAGTAATGAGTACGGACTACTGAGGTGAGTCGTGAGTCCGTTAGCCGTGAGGGATGCTGAAGAAGGACACAAAGAGTATGGTGCCTGCCGCTTGCACACAGTGCACACTGCACAGTGTGCAGTGTGAGCCTGTGAGGACTGGTGAGTTTGAGTACTGACTGAGTCTCTGAGAGTGTGGTCTACTTTAGTATCTCTCAAACTCTCAGAGTCTCATGTAGTGATTGACTGATTACAGTCATCACATGATGTATGTACGAAAATTGTAAATTGTTTTTTATAGAAAGACAAAAACAAAATATGTACATATTTATGCATGTAAATATTGGTAAAACACAAAAAACAAAATATAATAAAAAAAAGTAGAAAGGCAATTTGTAAATATTTATGCCTTTATGTAGCCTTCCCTTTTTATAAGTATTTTTAATATTTGATCTTGTATAGAAATATAATTTGAACAGGATATATCTGTAATCTGACAAGTATCTGGCGGCTGGCGCTGGTATCAAATCGTGGCCTTTCCAATTTCCTTCAAATGGGCAAAACAGTGAAAACCGCCTCGTTCTTTTCCTTTCCAAATTTTCAGGCATTCCCTGAGATCGTAAAAGTCTGTATTTTGTTTAAAAAACCTCTCAGCTGGCTCAGCAACCTCGGCCCTCAACCCTGAGGCGCCCTCAGCCAGTCTCTCTATTTTTTAAAATAAAATACAATCTCATTTGTTTTTAAATGGCCCTCTCTGTAAGAACCTGATCGAGGAACACATACAAATAAACGAAAAAGTGAATGTTATTATTTTCAACGTTTTATACGCGTATTTATTATTTTAGGAAATACAAATATATGTACATATTTAAAATTAGGAATATTTATATATATATAAAAATGCCATAATTTTGAAAAATATAAGGCATTTTATTTCATCTTTATTATTTTCCTAAAAATATATTTCGTGCATGTTTCATATTTATTATTTTCCCAAAAAAATATATGTTACCTATTTATTAATTCTCTTATAAAATTTCCACATAAATACTTCATTTTATTATGTATTGACATAGCTTGCTATTTAGTTTGTGTGACGATAGTTGATACTAAAAGTTAAAAACACATTGATAAACAGTCCTTGTATATTCACAACACATATGCACAACGTAGCATAGTAATATACTAAATATGAACATAAATAGAGAGCTTACACTTGGTTTATGTACACTAAAAAGGTAAAAGATCTTTATAATAAATAAATCATGAGTTATATGACTTCTAAACACGCATTTTTGTAATGTCATTATTCTGAGTCATAGAACTCGACAGAGATCATTTAGCAGTGAAGCAGGAAGATGTACAGATTAAGCTGCACTTAAATACTGTGCACTGGGGTGGCATATTTGGGTATGTGCGCTTATATTGTCACTTTATACAATTCAAATAAACTAACGATCTATGTGTTGACTTGTGTATATAATATATGTGATTGCTTGTCAGTGTTTCAACACCACAAGTATAAAACTGGATATAATTTTTTGCCACCTTTTTTTGTTCGAAAAATCAATGAATTTTCAAATTGGTAACAATTTGCCACCTCATTTGAAAAAGGTGGTCAACATGCATCGAGCGGAAACAGGTTAAATTGCAACTGACGCTATACTACTGGTACGATAGCTCTGAAATTGGTAACAGAGCTCAAGGACAATACTATTGATAGGTGTGAACAATTATTTGTATGCCTGTGAATTATAAAGTTCACAATGTCCCTTCTGGCAGGATATGTGACAAGTGTGGATTATGTCTTCTGTGACCAAAATGCGCTCAGGAGACAAAATATCGAATTGGCATGTATTGTGAAAAAGCATTTTTCGAGTATCACCTGACTACAATAGTATCAAAAAGAGTGTCCAACATGTGGGTTTGTAATTTTTGATGTTATTTCGTCCTATTTGGTATAATTCCAATTACAGGGTCTTACACGCATACTTGCGAAGGTACACAACTCTATATATGGACACATATACGTCCATGGAAACACACACACACACACATATATATATATATACAGACGATAATATATACATATATATATATATATGTATACATATAACAACTATAT